CAATCCACTCACCTCAGCCTCCCAAAGGCGCGGGATTACAGGCTGAGCCACCAAGCCTGGCTCTCCCAGTAATTCTGATCTTGTTCTGGGTGGTATGGACATCTTAATGATATTGAGCGTGGATTGTTCTTCCATTTGTTTGTGTCATCTTTGATATCTTCCAGCAGTGTTTTTTCATTTTTATTGTAGTGCTCTTTCACCTCATTGGTTAGGTTCATACCAGAGTATTTCACTTTTGGGTGGCTATTGTGAATGGGATTGGGTTATTGATTTGGTTCTCAGCCTACTTGTTGTTGGTGTATAGAAATGCAACTGATTTTTACACATTGATTTTGTATTTAGAGATTTTTACTGAAGTCATTTATCAGTACTAGAAGTTTTTTGGTGGAATCTATAGCGGTTTCTAGGTATAAAATCATATCATCCATTAAGAGAGATTATTTAATTTCCTCTTTTCCTATTTGGATACCTCTAGTCTTTCTCTTGCCTGAGTGCTCAGGCTAGGACTTGAAGTACTTTGTTAAATAGAAGTTGGTGAAAGTGGACATCCTTGTCTTATTCCAGTCTTTTGGAGACATGCTTCCAGCTTCTGCCTGTTAAGTGTGACATTGGCTGCATTTTGTCACATATGGTTCTCATTATTTTGAAAAATATTCCTCCAATACCTAGGTGTTTGAGGGTCTTTATAAAGAAGGGATGTTGGATTTTATCAAATTTATACAATTTTTATTGAGATAAAATTCACATAACATTAAATTCAAGCTGGGTACGAAAGCTCATACCTGTAATCCCAGTCTTTTGGGAGGCAGAAGGGAGAGGATTGCCTGAGCCCAGGGATCCCAGACCAACCTGGGCAACTTGGTGAGACCTCGTCTCTACAAGTCAAAAAATTAGCCAGGTGTGGTGGCGCAGGCCTGTAGTTCCAGCTACTTGGAAGGCTGAGGCTAAAGGATCGTCTGAGCCCAGAAGGTCGAGGCTGCGGTGGCTGTGGCATGCCATTACACTTCAGCCTGGGTGACAGAGTGAGACTCCAACTCAAAAAAAACAAAACCAAGCACAGTGGTTGATGCCCATAATCCCAGCACTTTGGGAGGCTGAGGTGAGAGAATTGCCTGAGCCACGGGTTCAGGCTGGGCAACTTGCCTAGTAAAAAATAAAAAATTAGCCAGGCATGATGGCGCATGCCTGTAGTCCCACCTACTTGGAAGGCTGAGGTGGAAAGGTCGCCTGAGCCCAGCAGTTCTGGGCTTCAGTGGCCGTGAGCTTGCCACTGCACTCCAGCCTGGGTGACAGAGCAAGACTCTGACTCAAAAAATATATATTAAATTTGTCATTTTAACCATTTCATATTGCACCATAAAGTGTTTTTTTTTAGTGTGTCCACAATGTTGTATAGTCCTAACCACTATCTAATAAAGAAATATTTTCTTCACTTCAAAAGTCAACCCTCTACCCACTAAGTAGTCACTCTCCTTCTCCCCTTTGCTGGCAAACACGAATCTGCCTTCTGTCCCCCCAGATTTGCCTATCCTGACATTTCATATAAGTAGAATCAAACAACATTGGCCATTGTATCTGACTTCTTTCTCATGACATAATACAGTCAAGGTTCATCACCACAGTCAGTGAGAGCCCTTCATTCCTTCCTAAGTCTAGATAAGATCCCACTGTATAGAAGGGCCACCTGTTGCCCATCCATTCTTCAGTTGATGGACATGAGGGTTGTGACCATTCTTTGGTTATTGTGAAAGATGCTGCTAGAAGCATTCATGCAAAAGTGTTTGTTGGAACCTATGTGCTGCGTCCAGCACGGCAGGGTAAGTAAGGAACCTGGAAGAGGAACAGTGCAGTACAACACAAATTATAAGACACCTTTTAGAATTTAAAAGTGAAAGAACCAGGGGGCATTTTACCTCACAGGACAAAGGCCCAAGTCTCTTACCCACCAGATTTTTATTAATATAAATGACCTGTTTAAGCAAGCATTCAAAAACAAAGTATAGGCAATAACGTGGAAACTTTCTTGTTCTGACCATAAGCAACAAAAAGTGACTGTTTACAGGACATAATGCAACTGCTTGTAGAACAATGCGGTTAATGTATAACTTCTTTACTTAGTCTAACACAAAGAACACTGCACTTAAGAACTTGCCTCAGCATTCATGCCTATCGACTTGTGTCATCATCAGCATTCTTGGTTGATTATGCCTTTGTATGTAGCCAAGCGTGCCTTCAGCAAAGTTCAAGTAGGGCAGTGGTCTCCAACACCTATGTTTTTATTCCTCTTGGGCATATACCCAGGAATGGAGTTGCTGGGTCGTGCTGTAATTTTGTGTCTAAGTTTTTAAGAAATTCCAGACTGTTGCCCACAGTGTCTGCACACTTTGCATTGCACTGTATTTTATGGCGGTTGCAAATTTTTCATATTCTTTCAAACATTCTCTTGTTCCTTTTATTTTTTTAAAGAACTATGGCCTTTATTGTGTGAAGTGGTAGCTGGTGGTTTCAGCATGCATTAGCATAGTGATGAATGATGCTGAGCAGAGTTCAAGGACATATTGGTATTTATATTCTTTATGGCACGGTTTTCACAGAAGTCCTTTGTGTACTTTTTAATTGGGTTATTTGTGTTGTTTGAATTTTGAGCTGTAAGTGTTCTTTATGTATGCTGGATACTAGACCCTAATCAGATCTATGACTTGCAAATGTATTCTCCCATTCTATATATTATTTTCTCACTCTCTTAATAGTGTCAATCAATGAAAAATAGTTTTTATTTTTGATAAAGTCCGATGTGTGTGTTGTTTCTCTGTCCAGCCGGCCACAGTCAGAGCATGGTTTGGGGTGAGCCCTAGGCTCATGTGGTCCCACATCCAGGAACACAGGAAGGAACTACATCACCTATATCCAAGTCCTACTGGGGAGGAAGGACACCGTGTGGTTTAGCAGGTCAATCTACCTCATCCATTGTTTTTGCAGGGACAACAGAACTTGTGGAAAAGATGGTTCTGAGGGCCATAGGGGTAGTGGCTGTGATGGTCCTGCTTCTCTGCCTCTGCCTTCTCATCCTCAGGTGAGCACTGCCCCAGGGACTAAGAGAAGAAAAAGGAGGGCAGAGAACATGATGCCAAATCCCATAATCTCAAAACTGGGGGTACTTGCACAGGTTGAGAGGGCCTGGAGCCAGGCAGGAGGCTAACTTGTGGCCATGGGTCAAGGGCCAGGGTGGGGAAGCTCCTGCTCTCACTGTGGAGGCCTTGCAGGCTGGCCCTGCTCTCACCCCTCATGACCACTCCAGAGCTTTAACAAGGCACAGGGAGGTGAGTCTGTGGCTCTCTGCTCTCCAGTGTGGCCACACTGACAGGTTCTGGTCTCTTCTTTCAGTGTGAGGTTCCACAGGACGAAGGAGACATGGGCAGCAGGGAGTGTGGTGGACGAAAACACTGTTGTGGGTTAATCTCTCAGGTGGGTGTCGTGGGCATCTCACCAGTCAACATTCCACTGGACACTTCTCCTGGGTGGCCTCCATGAATGCTATGCTCAGCATGGGCAAAGCGGCACCAGCTGTCCTTATCCTCACTTCTCCTTCTGGGATCCCCTTTCTGCTGACGATAAGGTGGCCCCATCTCTAAAGCCAGAGCCAGGGTGTGTTTCTCACCTTGACCTCCCTCCCTCCCCCAGTTCCCATCCATTACTGACTCTCGTTCCTCCTTCTCCTAAATACGGCTCTTCCTGGAGCCCTCTTCTTCTCCATCCTGACCCTGGTCATTTCTGCGGCCACACCTCTTCCCTGGTCACTCAACCCACCTCCCCTCCTATCTCCCTCTCTCCCCAGCACAGGCCTCCAGACTGTTTCCAGATGCCTCCTCGTCCAGGTCCTCCACACTCTGAATGACCATGTTTCCCTCCATTGCTGGAGAGCAAGGTACCAGTGTCACGACCTGGACTGAGGGCCATGCTCTGTCTGTCCCCTGCAGGACTCTCATCCTGACCCCTCCTCTCCCTGCATCACCCAGCATCTCCCACACCCACCGGGCCAGCTCTCTTTGACTCTGAGACTTTGCATGTGTGGTTCCTTCTTCTAAAACACCTTTCCCTCCTCATTCCTGCCTATCTGAGCCCTGATATGTTCTTCAGGCTCAGCGTTAAATGTCACCTCAGTGTGTAATTCTTGTATGATACTGAGGGTCACACTTATCCATTCATGTACATATTCCTAAGCAGCTATATTGAACACCTACTATGTGTCAGCATTATAAGTCCCAGGGGTTCATCAGTAGAGACGACATCAAGCATCTCTATCATCAAGAAGTTGTTGTTATGGACACAAGAGTGATAGAGATAAAAAGAAATAAATAATACATAAAATGAGAGCATGTGGGATGGTGATCTTTGTTTGGAAGAAAATCATGGAGAAAAAGAAGCAGAAGGTGTCCTGGGGGGGCAGTTTCAGGGTCTGATGGTTGAGGAGGTGATGTCAGGTAAAGACTTGGAGGAGGTGAAACTGCAGCTCTGTGTCTGCCTAAGAGAAAATTCTCACAGGGAAAGGGGAACAGGAGAGCAGGGCTCAGAGGCAGCAGCAGGCCTGGGAGCTGTGGATACACCCAGAGGCCTGTGTCTGAGGCCGAGGGAGGCAGGAGGAGGGAGCAGCAGGGAGGATAGTGCAGACTGTGTGGGGTCCCACAGGCCTTAGAGGGATCTGGAGCCTTTGGGGAGAGCAGAGAAATGACTGGACTTTCCCTCTAAGAGGACCCCATGGCCATCCTGGTCAGAACAGGCCCAAGAGGGTCACGGCAGCCATAGAGACGGGAAGCCACCACTGGATCCTCCAGGACAAGGGACCGTGACTTGAACCAGGCAGGCAGGGTGAGGACACGCTTAGGGATGTGAGTGGAAGGTCAAGCTACAAGATTTTCTAGTGGCGTCATCTGTGAGGAGATAGGAAGAACCAGGATGATGCCAGAATGTTCCACTGAACTCCTCGAAGGAAAGAGCTGTGTCTACAGAGGATTGCAGAGAAAGGACCTTGAGGGAGGATGTTCATTCTGAGAATTCCCCTGACTTCTGAATGGGGATAGGAGGGAGACACCTGGATCCAGCGTCTGGAGATCAGAAGAGTGACAGGGCCGGGCTCAGTGGCTCAGCTTGTAATCCCAGCGCTTTGGGAAGCTGAGGTGAGTGGATTGCCTGAGCCCGCTGGTTCAAGACCCACCTAGGCAACTTGGTGAGAGACCTCTTCTCTACAATAAATCAAAAAATTAGCCGGGCATGGTAGTGCGTGCCTGTAGTTCTGGCTACTTGGAAGGCTGAGCGGAAGGATCGCCAGAGCCCAGCAGGTCAAGACTGCTGTGGCCAGGAGCATGCCACTGCATTCCAGTCTGGGCAACAGAGTGAGACTCCAATTCAAAAAAAAAAGAAAAAGAAGAAGAGTCACGGACGGAAACATTGCAAGGTAGAGCTGGAGTAAAGCGATAGCAGATAAGGAAAGACAAGGGTGATTACAGATGTAGAAGAGGGCAAATGTGTCACTGGTGTTCTCTTGACATCATGTGATACCTTCTACCTTTTTGATCATAGTCATCCTAACAAGGTCCATTAACAGGTGAATGAATAAACAATCTGTGTTACGTCCATACAATGGATGGTCTCTCATTATGGTTTCCATTTGTATTACCCTGATGATTCCCTGGCAGTGATCTGTATTTTTTGTCTACCTGTTGACTATTTCCATTTTTTGTGGACAAACTGTCTATCAAGTCCTTTGCTTATTTTTAAAGGGGTTATTTGTTCTTCTGGTACTAAGTTTTTTGAGTTGCCTATATATTCTGGATTTAACTTCCTACCTGATATACGGCTAAAAAAACAGTTTTCTCTTTCTGTCATTCATCTGCCCACTCTTTTTATCGCTTTCTTTGCTGTGTAGAAGCTTTTTCGTTTGATAGAATTCCACTTGTCTATTTTACTTTTGTGTTCTGTATTTGTGGTGTTACCTCCAAAAAATTGTTTGTCCTGATAATGTCAAGAAGCACTTTTTCCCTGTGCTTCTTTCCAAGAATTTTTACCATTTCAGTCTTTGTGTTCCAGTCTTCAACCAGTTTTGAGTTAACTCAGTATAATAATGTGATATGATTGACAAAACTGTTTTGAATGAAGTGTGTGGAAGGAAGGGTGGGAGCACTTGACTGGAGCAAGTTCAAGAAAGAATTGGGCTGGGCTCAGCCTGTAATTCCAGCACTTTGGGAGGTCAAGGCGAGTGGATGGCCTGAACCCGCGGGTTTGAGACCAGCCCGAGCAATTTGGTGAGACCGTGTCTCTATAATTAATCAAAAAATTAGCCGGCCATGGTAGCACCTGCCTGTAGTTCCAGAAGGCTGAGGCAGAAGGATTGCCAGAGCCCAGTGGGCCGATGCTAGGGTGGCCATGAGTGTGCCAGTGCCCTCTAGCCTGGGCTGGGCTACAGTGTGAGACTCAAACTCAAACTCAAACTCAAAAAAAAAAAGGCCGGACTCGGTGGCTCAGCCTGTAAACCCGCGCTTTGGGAGGCCGAGGTGAGTGGATTGCCCGAGCCCGCGGGTTCGAGACCCTCCTGGGCAACTTGGCGAGACCTCATCTCTGCAATAAATTAAAAAAAAAATTAGCCGGGTGTGATAGCATGCACCTGTAGTTCCAGTTACTTGGAAGACTGAGCAGAAGAATCGCCGGAGCCCAGCAGGTCGAGGCTGCGGTGGCCAGGAGCATGCACTCCGGTCTGGGTGACAGAGTGAGATTTCAACTCAAAAAAAAAAAAAAAAGGAAATAAAAAAACAAAGAATCGGAGAAAGGAAGGTGGAAAGAGTGAGAACAAATGACCCCTTGAGGAGTTTTCTGCAAAGAGAACACAGAAGTGGGACTGGAGGAGGACTTTCTGTTTTCCTGCAATCTCCCACATATGGTCAATGAATTCCTCCCTCTATTAGTCTCATATACACTGTGAGAGATAGCCTCAATTCTGATGTTTTTAAAAAAACAAAAAAGGCCGGTCGCGGTGGCTCATGCTTATAATACCAGCACTTTGCAAGGCCGAGGTGAGAGGATAGCCTGAGCCCAGGGGTTCAAGACCAGCCCAGGCAACTTGGCGAGACCTCATCTCCACAATAAATCAAAAAATTAGTTGGGCCTGGTGGCACGTGCCAGTAGTTCCAGCTACTTGTAAGGCTGAGGCAGAAGGACCGCCTGAACCCAGCAGGTCGAGGCTGCAGTGGTTGTGAGTGTGCCACTGCACTTCAGCCTGGGCAAGAGTAAGACTCAGACTCAAAAAAATAAAAATAAAAATAATGTAAATTTATTGTCTCACAGTTCTGGAGCCTAAGAATTTCCATTATATCTCTGTGGGCTGAAATCCAGGTGTTCATTGGACCCAATTCTGTCCAGAGACTTAGAACATTAATTATATTGCCTGATTAAGTGTTTGGTAGAATTCAACAGTGAAGTCATCTAGTCCTGGAATTTTCTTTGTTGGCAGACTTTATTACTCATTCAATTTTGTGGCTTGTCATTGGTCTGTTCAGGTTTTCTATTTCTTCTTGGTTCAATCTATGTCCAAGAATTAATCCATATTCTCTAGATTTTTGAATTTATTGGACTACTGTTGTAAATCACAATCCAAATTAATCTTTGTGTGTCTTTGGTCTCTGTTCTAATCCTTCTTTATTCGTTTCTGATTTTATTCATTTATGTCTTCTCTCTTTTCTTCCTAATTCACTTAACAAACCATTTGTTGATTTTACTTTTTTTTTTTTTTTTTTTTGAGTTGGAGTCTCACTCTGTCGCCCAGACTGGAGTGCAGTGGCCGCTCCCGGCCACCGCAGCCTCGACCTGCTGGGCTCCGGCGATCCTTCTGCCTCAGCCTTCCAAGTAGCTGGAATTACAGGCATGCACTACCACGCCTGGCTGATTTTTTGATTTATTGTAGAGATGAGGTCTCACTGCCCAGGCAGGTCTCGAACCCGCGGGCTCAGGCAATCCACTCACCTCAGATTTTACTTTTTTTAAAGCCACTGTTCATTTCATTGATCTTTTGTAATTTTTTTAGTCCAATTCATTTCTGCTCTGCTCTTCATTATTTCTTTCCTTCTACTAATATTGAGTTTGTTTTACTCTTGCTTTTCTAGTTTGTTTAGGAGTATCATTAAACTGTTTATCTGAAATCTTTCGAGTTCTTTGGTGTAGGGATTTATTGCTATAAGCTTGCTTCGTAAGACTATATTTTTGTTTGCTTGTTCATTTATCTATTTTTTAGAGACGAGGTCTCACTCCGTTACTTAGGCGGGAGGGCAGTGGCGTGACTATATATCTCACTGCAGTCTCAAACTCGTGGACTCAAGTGATCATCCCATCTCAGCCGTTCAAATAGCTGGGCCTACATGCATACACTACCACACTTGGCAATTTTTTTTTTGGTAGCGATGTAATCTTGCT